AACAACAAAGGGAAAGTTGAAGAAGCTGGCTAGAAAAAAATACAGGAAAAGGGCAGATCTGTATGCCTGGGAAACGAAAATGATGAGTATTCTCTTGAGGGTGCCATTTTCAGGATGAATGCACTTGCATTCACATGCTTGAGTCACGCCACCTTTAAAGCCAATTCCTAGAAAAGAAATTTTAATTGGCTAGGTGAAGGTGGGGCAGATTGACTAAAAGTCCCACCACATTTATACAGAATGAGAGGGATGTGGCCCCTCGAAAAAGGAAATGAGGGTGGTGTTACCAAAAGAAGGTAGTGTAAAATAAAGCACAAACAAACAAAAAGCAAGTACCCACTTCAGCATCTTGTGGAATATGAGTGGGAAACACAGGTAAAGAGAAGGAAAAAGAAATAAGAGTAGCCTGATCTGGCTGAAGCACAGGATGAATAGATGACATCAGAATGAGCCCGATTTTGGCTTACTGGTCACCTCCGCCTTCCTCTTCTTACGCACCCCAACCATCCCAATCAGTGAACTACTCTCCCCAGTTTACACTAAGTTTATCGGGTGCATGTCCATTCTGGAAGCAATTGACTCAAGGCAAAGGAAAGTTTGAGCTGATGGTCATGCCCATGAATGAGGGATGGGACTACTCCCATCAGTTATGAGCAATCAGACCTTTGGAACCAACATTACAGACCCTGGCGTGTTTCTCTCTCAACCTTAGGAAGAGTGTCTCACTTAGCTATAAGGCTAAGACTAACAATTTGCCTTAAGGAATGTGCCAAGGAGATTCTGTCCATCTGAGCCAAGCAGCATGTTCTTCCTTTGTGTCCTCAATATGGGCATTCAAGTAGTGGTTGAGATGAAGCAGTCCTACTGGGGACATTTCTGAAAACTATGGAAATCTTAGAGATGCACACCAGTTTCAAGTGGTAACACTGAGAGTCTTCCCCCCAAATAATCCATGGGAGTTGCTCCCTGATGCCTCCCTCACTCCGTCCCCACCTTTGCTCTGAAGCCAGTGCCTGATAATTTGTGTTAGCTTCACTTTCCTCATCTGCAATATGAAGAACTTGAATTAAGTTCTCTCCTACGGGTTCTTCATAAGTTATACTTCGATGTCAGATTGAAAAGCTTGTTTGCGATCATGTTGAGAAAGGACTTGACTGCTTTGGACAAAGAAGTCTGGTCTTCAGATTGTAGATTATGAAAGTTAGGTACATGTTCTTTAGAAGCAGAATCACAGGCTTCAAATCTTTCCCAGCTCTCTCGTTGACAAATGTGTGATTTGAGAAGATATTTAATCTTTTAATCTATTGTTTTACTTTGTAAAATAAAGGAAATAAAAATTTTTCACATAGTTAAGTAAAATAATTCAATAATTTTAAAAATATAATAGTAAGTGAGAGGCACAGAATTTTTTTGAAGAAAGGAGTACAATGGCTAAAAAATGCAATGTGATGGTGAACTTGACAGTTCTGTGCTTGACAGAATGATTGATGTGGGCATCTGATAAGCTACCAAATCTAGGTATCACTAACACATGACAAAACAGAAACTCTGCAGACAAACAATAACAATAAAACCAAAAATTATTACTATGGCAAATAAGATAGCAGATTATTTATTTTAATAATAGATAACGTTTATTGAACACTCACTATGTGGAATTTTGTATTTTTTAGCTTTCTTTAAAATGTTAACTTAGAAACCTGAAATCAGGGGCTGGCCCCGTGGCTTAGCGGTTAACTGCGTGCGCTCCGCTACTGGTGGCCCGGGTTCGGATCCCGGGCATGCACCGACGCAACGCTTCTCCGTCCATGCTGAGGCAGCATCCCACATACAGCAACTAGAAGGATGTGCAACTATGACTTGCAACTACCTACTGGGGCTTTGGGGGAAAAAAGGAGGAGAATTGGCAATAGATGTTAGCTCAGAGCCGGTCTTCCTTAGCAAAAAGGGGATTGGCATGGATATTAGCTCAGGGCTGATCTTCCTCAGGAAAAAAAAAAAAAAAACAAAGAAAAGAAAAGAAATCAGGTAGTCTTGAGACCCAGGCTCTATTTTTCAGTTTAGTCCTTGCCCACTGTCTGTTGCTTAATTCTTCTCAAATTGAAGTTTCTACTTAAGGAAAAATATACCTTTAAATATATGTGTGTGTATATACTTATTATATGTACCTGTATATGTAAAACATTTCTAAACACATGCATTTATCGATTGGGATCATGTACATTTGCAAATAACAGAAAACAATAATAGTTTTAGAAAGCGAGTATCTACTTTTTCTCATGTAACAAGAATCTTAAGTTATGTGTTCCTGATATTATTTTAGCTGCTCAGTGAAGCCATCAGGGACCCAGGTTGTTTCTAACTTCGACTCCAGTATCCTCAAAATTTGGACTTTTCCTTGTGCATGTATCTTCCTGGTCAGAATATGGCTGCTACCTCTCAGATATCAAGTCTAGTGCAATGAATAAAGAAATCCTCTCCTCTGTGTTAGGTCTCAATGGCCAGAACATAGCTGTTGGAAGCTGTAAGGGCAGCTAAGAGAGAGGAGAACTAGATTATATGACTGTTTCAGACTGCTATGATCCATGTCCTAGGGCTGAGCAGATTTGGGCCCGAAACTAAATCAGGGTTCTTAGTAAAAAAGAATAGAGGAAAGAATACCGGGTAGGCAGAATTTGCCGCATTAAGGATAGCAAGTAGATAAAATTACCTAACTTGAAGTATGCTATGATAAATTGTGAAGGATGATAAAGTATTTGTGAAATATGAGGCAAGAAAAATCCTGCCAAAACAAATGCAATCATTCATGACAATTCATTTTAAGTCATGAAAGAAATTTTGTATTAACTCTTAGAAGCTTCAGCAGGTCCTTTCATAGAAAAAAAAGATACAGCCAGTCATTGAATGAATAGACAACTTTTGTTGTTGTTTTCTTATGTAGATAAACTTTTGAGAGAGCTAATGTAGTATATTTGTAGTAGAAGAAATGGCTTTAACTAATAATATATTTTTGGGAACAAGAATCATCCTGAACTACAAAATCATCTTGAGCTTATCCATGTCGCGGTAGGTGAGTGATTCTAGCTTACTCTGGTGGACAGACTACATCTGTTGTTCTATAGTTAGCATTTTCTCAAGCTGCCAGAAAGCATCTCATCATTTGGCTTGTCCCACATGTTAGACAGAAAGAAAAAGAGAAGGAAGCTGGGGTGCAGTTGCTGAAAGACCTGTAGACCTAGAACTCGGCAGGAACGACAGCTGAGGACAGTCGGAGGCACGATGCTTGCTCAGTAGCTGTAATGAATCAGCAAGGGTAGGCATGTTCTGCCGACCTGAAAAGACCCAGGGAGAAAAACAGCATTTTAGGATTCCTAAATTATTAACTACTCCAGTGTGATGTCAGCAAGTCCAAGATAGCTAGATATGCAGGGCATTTGGAGATGTAGATAATAGGTAATTGTTGGCGTGCGTGGCTAGTTTCAAGTGACTTTTATTTCTGACCGCTCTGCTTTTTTGAGAAAATGCTTTATGAATTTGGAAAATTATAAGTGCAAGCATTCCGGATGTAATATTTATGTGCACCCAATAAGCAATATGTTTTCATTTGATGTCATTTGTTTTCCACTATCATATTATATTGGGTGGAAAAATATAGTTTGAGACCATTTGCTCAAATATATAAGATACATTATTTGGAGAGTAGAATTTTGATAGTCAATTCAGTTAAAAGTACTATTTCTTATGACATCTTCCTGAGACTGTGCCAGCAGATTTGGAGAGAACTGAAACAATGGATTTTGAAAACTTCAGAAATGTTGCAAAATATAACTTGCAAATATAGTAACTACTGTTGGTGTAAAAAGTGTTTATGTTACATATATGCACACCCACATAATGCTATTTTACATGGCCATGGTGGTGCAAATAGATTGATGAATCCTAATTTTGAGATTCAAGAGGATTTGAAGAGAATATGATTTTTGCGGCTATTGCGGATTTCCTGTTTTCTCTATCTTTAATTCTTTGTCTTGGCTCAACTACCCTAATATATTTGAAAAGATAAGTGTTTCAGGAATTCTTATTTATATTTTTGTAGGTATTTTGACTTATAAATCATTTTTTCAAGTATAAGAATAAGAAGAGCCTTAGATAAATCTTGATAATTTAACATACTTATCTTTAAATATGAAATTAGTCCTTGAGAGATCCACAGTATTGGTTTTCTTCCTATAGCTCAGTTTATCTTTCATTAGATTATAATGGCAAATAGACTCAAAATTATTTCTATAATAAAAATAATAATATAATTACTATAATAAAAGAAAAAATACCTAAATTCTTTCAAACCTAAAAACATCTGTACATATTTTATAGGATAGAGAAATTACTTTGATTTATTTTATAAAGGGAGTAAAGCATTAATATTTGTGTAATTTTTTTTCTTTGAACTTTTTATATCACCCTACTTATCTAAAGGCATAGTAACTTTAAATAACTTCAAAATCTTTTCAAACCTTGAAGACATACTAAGTGAAATATGCCAGTCACAATAGGGCAAATATTATATGATTTAGTTATATGAGATACCAAACGTAGTCAAAGTCATAGAGACAGAAAGTAGAATGGTATTTGCCACAAGCTGGGGAAAAGGAAGAATGGAAAGTTAAAAAAGAGGTCTTTTTAGCCATGCAGTGAGATATACTATGGCATTTTAATATTAGTTCAAGAGTAACGTGTATCTTTTGCCATAATGTAGAATTCATTCTAAATGAAAAATAAAAAGAATGCACGTAGAAAGCCAAGCACAGACCTGGTGGACAATTACCATCTCAGTAAGTGTTATCTTTTATTATTATGGCAGTATATGTTTCAGAAGGTCAAAAGAGCAATGTGAAATAATGCAGTTTTGAAATGGGTTCATAAGTATATTTATAACAAAATCAAATTACATACTTAAAATATTTTCCAACATTCTTTATTAAGAAACTTTATTATTCCAGGAGGAATTGTTGATAAGGATCTCCGTCACTACCTCAACTTACGATTTCAGAAGGGGTCTGTGGACCATGAACTTCAGCAAATCATTCGTGACAACCTCTACCTCCGCACGGTGCCGTGTGAGTACAACAGGCGATGCTATTTTCTTTCTATGTTAGCAGATAAATGTTTAGCTATATATCCATTGTTTAAAAGAAAAATTAAATCTCACTGATTTTTTATGGTGGGCTTTTGGAACAGAAAACTGATTTGGGATATGGAAGTTTCAAATGCAAAGCTTATAACTGCAGTTGTGTGGTTTATGATGATGTTGTAGCCAGAAGAGACTTGTGATTTTCAAGCTATAAAACTTAACTTACTTCTCAAGTTAGTATTGAGAAACATGAATTTTGGTCCAGGATGTTGGTGATTCAGAATGAATCATGATTAAGGTAGAACTCCACACTGGGAGACAGGAGAATGCAAATTCAACTTATTAGCTGAAACAGCTACTTTGTAAATGGAATCTACACAGTAACTCCCAACCTCATCTCTGGTTTTCAGCAGAGTCTCACAAGTGAAAACAAAATTATGCATTGGAAAGTAAAGCTAAATGTTCTATAACTCTTAGAAAGTGATGATGTTGAGTGTTGAGTACCAATTTCTTATATGCAACCTATAGAAATCCACAGACGACAATCCCTGATTATGAGCAGGTGCTACTTCAAAAGAGAGGAATTGGTAAAATGATAAATGATAAAATTCACAAATCAACTTCTTAGTACCTGCTTCAGCTCATTTGAGAATCTATTAACTTCAGAACAATTCAAGGACTTTTCAAGTCAGATCCTAAATCCTAGATAGATATCAACATCCATTTCCATCAAGGTAGATTCCATGACTTCCAGAAACTTTCCAGTCTCTCCAAAAACTCTGATCTGTGGGTGTCGTGTGTATTCCTTTTGTTTTAGTTCTGTTCTGAACTTTAATAAACTCAAAGGTATGGGCTTTGGAAGGTTGAAACTAAAGAACGAAAAACTTGGTTAGGATGAATGAAATAAATAAGCAAAGAAATATTATTTTAATTTCTGGGACTGAACTACCAGAGCTATGTCAAATGGATAATTCAGCACCCAACCCTTTTCACCCACATGCATCTCAGGAGAGGTGGACTCTTGTCATTGTTGCCACTGAATGTTCATCAGAACAAAAAAGCTAGGGCACCACTCTCAAATATTCCTAAATGAGAATGCTTGCTGATTGACATCTTGTCAGACCAAATGCTACCTCTGTCAGTGGATGTTACTTAAGTGAATAGACTTTTGGACTTTTGCTTTAAAACTAAAAGTTGAGAGAAGCACATTCTTAAACTTATAAGTTTGACATTAGAGTGATGGATAGAGGAAGATGGATTAAAGTAAGTGACTAAACTATTTATAAGGTAACGGGTGGACGCATTTTCAAAGCTGTGATGTTGTCAGTGCAGCCATGTGAATTTATCTTTTGTGACATGAAAGAAAGGAGATCTGAAATACTGAATAAAGAATCCAGGCACTTTATTATGTTTAAAAGCTGAGGGAAATAGATAAGAGGCTGACATTCAGGAATACTTGTAGTCCTTGCTGAGACAATGACATAAATAAGAAGTCTTAATTAAATATGAAGATAATAGGAGTAAATTTTGCATTAGTTAATTAACTTCTTAAATAAGTCATCTCTCTTTAGAGTACCAAAGAAATACTATGAAGGAAAAATAAATATAAGGGTAAAATAACTAGGCTTATATGAGTAAACATAAAGAGTTTCATGATGTGATTTCAGAACAAGGTCATAAATTCAATTAGAAATCCTTGAATAGCTTCTATAAAGGAGATGATTAGAAATTCAACGAATATGAATATTATGATGAAACAATTATTCTTTGAATTTGTAGTTACCACTCCTAATAGCCAATTCCAATAATAACATTCACTAACAATGCTCTTAACTTGGCATAAAAATGAAAAAACATCTGAGATAGAGATGATTCTGGTTTATATTATCTATAATCAGTGCTATACTGATGAATTGGACGTAGACAATCCACCATTTTCACTCAGTGTATCTTGTAATAAAATATGCATTTTCAGAGTGTGTGCAGCAAAAATGTGTCAGTAGTGTGAAAACTCCTGCCATTGCTTAGAAACCTACATGTGTATCCAGCATATGTATTGGCCTTGATTATAGAGTGACATTTGTTACGTATTCTCTTGGGTTAAAGAATTCTTATTGGTTTTCATGTATCCAGCACCATAAAAGGAAAATGTATTACTGAAGAACATGTCACTGCTCTTATACATGCATAAGTTAATATGTATACCTCTTGTTTAATCTAGTAATGGCCCCAGAAATAGGTTCTGGACAACTCCGTGGAAACAAAATTGTAGTCAACTTGTAACCATGTGAGCATAGTTTAACCATTTTTTTTTTAAAGGCATTCTTCTTTTTGTTTTTGTTTTTTGGTGTTTTTGAGGAAGATTGGCCCTGAGCTAACATCTGTTGCCAATCTTCCTCCTTTTTTCCTTTTTTACCCCCAAAGCCCCAGTAGATAGTTGTGTGTCACAGTTACACATCCCTCTAGTTGCTCTGTGTGGGACTCTGCCTCAGCATGGTTGATGAGCGGTGGGTAAGTCCCCTCCCCCAATACGAACCAGTGAACCCCAGGCCGCCGAAGCAGAGCACGCGAACTTAACCACTATGCCAAGGGGCCCGCCCCCAGTTTAACTTTTTTATAAGGCAAGACCCAATTGAGTAATTCTGCTTACTACCACCACCACCAACTACAACTAGCAGGAAAGGAACAAAGTCTTGGAACCGGATTTCCTAGGTGCCTACTCAGAGAGAGTTCTGAGGTGAACACTCGAGAGACGTCCTCCCCTCACACACAAACACTAAACCGAATCCAGTTGTGGCCGCTTGGCTCCTGTACCACCTCTGAAGGAAGCCTGGGCCAGCCTGCCAGCTGATTTCTGAGCTAAGCAGGGGAGGGAGGTGATCAGGCCAGGTCTTTAATGGACCTTAACTACATATAATACAAAATCCATCTTTCTGTTCCCTGCCCCGTAAGCAAGGGTTCACTGTATTTAGGCTTTTCATTTTGTTTCCCCAGAACTTTATCTCAGAACCTAATTCTTCAAAAATATATATTCTTAGCGCTATGTCTCTAGGCACAGAAGGCAGGACTCAGGACTTGGTCCACATACACACGCAAATACTCTCATGAGATCAGTTCGTCATTCTTTCAAACTGAATCACAGAGAAAATATCCTTAGGAACTTACACATTATTTCCTATAGAACATAAGCCAGTCGCATGATTCATGTCCATTAAAGATTTAAATTTGGACCTAAATATATGTCTTTTAGTTGCTAACTGCAATTTATAGGGGGAAAATAAAGGTCTTAAGAGGATCCTGGTATCCTAAGGTGAAAGTTAACTTTTAAAAAATGAATACTGTAAATTGAATCTTTCTACCACTAGATTTTAGGCTATATAGAATTTTTATGTAATGGAACTTCAGGAGAAATGAGTAAACAAACAAAACTGCTGTAATCTGGAATGTGATAAAAGACTAACCAGGAAAAATGTATATAGATAAAGGACTGAAAAGAGTTTAGAACATCCATCAAATGGGATTTCAATTACGTTGATAGTGTACAAAAGACAAGTTGAGAAGCACTCAGTTAGCAGCGTCTATTTAGAGATTAGACAGGATTGTTTCATCGTAGCATGTTAAGTGTACAAAGTTAAGGCAGCACATATCATCCTTTGGGTAATATAGATTCCAAAGTGTATGAGGGAAATTAGTGGAATTAATACAGAAAAATACCGGATTAATTTTCAAATGTTCAAAGAGTAAAAATGGAGTTTATTTTGGTTTTAATATACTGCTGAGCATAATGATTGCATATAGTTAACTCTTGAGGCTAGTCAACCACAATGAAACTGACTATGCTTCTTCAGTGTGAGGAAAAAGTCACTTCCATTTATTGATGAAGTTCTGGTGCTTTCTGTCCTCAATATTTATTAGAGATACAAATTAATTTTTGAGGCAGGTACGAGCACAGATATAAGTTTTAGATACTTTTTCCCATTATACCAGATGACATGAGGAAGGACTTCAATGACCAATTCCAAAAATTTCAAAATGAAATGGAAGTTAGTTAAAATTAAACTTCTCTCCCAAGACCATACTTTGTCATTTGGTGAGATGGTTTTATTGGGAAATATTTTAAATTTATTTGAAGCAAAAAGAAATACCAGTGTATACCAAGTAAAAGGAAAAAATCAATAAAACTAGAGGTCTAAAACTATTCCATAAAAAGCAAATAAAATGAAAAACATAGATTTAAGATATGAAAGAAATTACTTTTATGGAAGAGCTGATTGAGGAGTAACTCACAATGATGTTTCTACGTGTTTAAGCATTTTAAGTTAGTATAACTAAGCCGTGTTAAAAAGAAGCATTGTCAGGAATAAAACTGTAAGGTTTCTAAAATATTTTTTTAAATTCTCTGTTATGCTAAATTATCTCTCATAGAGAAGCAAATAGAAGCAGGCTCTTTAAAAGTTATGAGAACTGTCTCCTTTTAAAAAGAGCAGTTACCAGCACACCAAAACGTATGATAGCTACACAAGGGGTCAACATCTCTTTTTCCTAATTATATAATTCCATATAGGACTGTGGTCAGAGAGGACTATTGAAGAGAAGTGAGTGACCACATATCTATTAAAAAGTCTGAAAAGGCAGAGCTTTCTAGTATACTGCATGGGGAAAAATAATTTTAATTCTTAAGCAAAAATCAGTACTTTTAAAGCTTGCGAAATATGTGTTAATATTCAATAAGGCAATATGTTTTTGTGGGCACGAATGAACCTTTCTATTTGCAATTTTGATCATGAAAATTCTAAGTTCTAAGCATGTGGTAAGAAGGGAGAGTGACATCAACCTGGGCATTATATTACAAAAAAATTATCTTCTTCCAGCAGAATGAGATTCTCCGAGTTGAGGGTGATCAAGACCGTGATTAAGTAGTCAGAACGTCCTTAAGCAACATAGGCTTGTGTGCTGGGGTGCTGGGTTGAACTATAAGAAGACATG